TTCTGATGCTGGTGGTTCTGATGCTGGTGGTTCTGATGCTGGTGGTTCTGATGCTGGTGGTTCTGATATTTCCCATTTACACTGCATCACCAAGACACTTCCTGTCAGATGCAGTTGTCCTGCCAGGCCACTAGGTGGCACTAGTATTTTCACATCCAACATTGTTTCTGTTGTAATCTGGCTGTTGAAGCGTAGAACAAGCCGTTGGTTCTGTGCTGGTCCTCTCAGTACTTGGCTCATCTGCTGGAGCGTCACAGGACATTTCCAGTCTGAAACCTGGTTTCAAAGGGGCTGAAAGGTGAAAGGTCACTTCTTAAGGAGCGGCTGGACCGCAACAACTTGGTTCTGGTTTAGCTGAAGAGCATGGCCGTGTCGACGGGCCTTCGAGGAGAACTGTCATTATGAAGATCTTTATAACTTTCGCACATCAGTCCGCTTTGGATCTCCACATCCCATCTGGCCATCAGAACCAACGTTCAGGAAACTGGACTTCCTGAATATCTGAATATATTTGAGGATTTTTCCAAATTTTCCTCCAGAGTGATAATGGTTCTGACCTGGTTGAACCCTCAGAACCCTCTGGATTTCCTGGTTTCTGTCCAATCAGAGCAGAGAACACTGCCAATAGATCTGGTTGTGGAAGGTTCTGGTGAACATGTCAGAACTCGACCTCAGGAGCACCTCAGAGCGGTTCTGGTTGATAATGACGATGCTCCTTCCTGTGTTCCTCAGTTTGAAGAAGAAGGAGTTCAGCCTGGAGGAGATCTACACCAACAAGAACTACGAGGCCCCGCCCAACATCAGGTAGATACTGGTACCGGTACCGGACTTCAGAGGTCCGACAGGATTTGTTCTAGTGTTGATGTTTTCTGTAGTCGGTGCTGACCATCAGGGCAGCCTGTCATTAGATCCTGATGGGCTAATGACTCTTGCTAACATCATCATCCCATAGGTGACATCGTGCCTTCAACTCAGCTTCCCAGCATGCTTTGTGTATTTCCTGCAGGAGCCTGGAAACCATATTTGAGGAGCCTCGGGAGAAGGATGGATCGCTGATCCTGATTGGCCAGCAGAAGCGTCGCCGACTCCTCCTCTTCCCTGACTTCACTCAGCCGAGGAAGAGGAAGAAGCCCCAAGGTCCACCATGAACCCAACACCTCTGGTCCTTCACCAGCATCAGCTGCTGATCTGTTTCCTGTTTCCTCCAGGGATGGGTTCCTGCTTCTTTGGTGCCCAGAAAACGAGCCGCAGTGCGGCGACACGTCCACGGCAGCGGGCTGGACGACGGCAGCGACCTGGACGTGATGCTGGTGGAGCGCCTGAGCGAGCTCGATGACTTCCTGACTCAGCAGGGCCTGGACGTGTGACATCATTTCCTGACAGCTGACTAAATGGACACACCAATGGAGACGTGTGTGCAGAGCCTGAGCCTTGGATCCGGCAACACAAACTCCGGGAAGCTCCGCCCCCTACAGATACACCTGTGGACAAAAACCTCATCCAGCTGCCGGTCTCTGCAGTGCCCTGGAGTACTCTGTAGTACTCTGTGGTACTCTGTAGTACTCTGTGGTACTCTGTAGTACTCTGTGGTACTCTGTAGTACTCTGTGGTACTCTGTAGTGTGGTACCCTTTAGTACTCTGTGGTACTCTGTGGTACCCTGTAGTACTCTGTGGTACTCTGTAGTGTGGTACCCTTTAGTACTCTGTAGTACTCTGTAGTACCCTGTAGTACTGTGGTACCCTGTAGTACTATGTGGTACCCTGTAGTACTCTGTAGTACCCTGTAGTACTCTGTGGTACCCTGTAGTACTCTGTAGTACCCTGTAGTACTCTGTAGTACCCTGTAGTACTCTGTGGTACCCTGTAGTACTCTGTAGTACCCTGTAGTACTCTGTAGTACCCTGTAGTACTCTGTGGTACCCTGTAGTACTCTGTGGTACCCTGTAGTACTCGATGTGGTACCCTGTAGTACTCTGTGGTACCCTGTAGTACTCTGTGGTACCCTGTAGTACTCTGTGGTACCCTGTAGTACTCGATGTGGTACCCTGTAGTACTCTGTGGTACCCTGTAGTACTCTGTGGTACCCTGTAGTACTCTGTGGTACCCTGTAGTACTCTGTGGTACCCTGTAGTACTCTGTGGTACCCTGTAGTACTCTGTGGTACCCTGTAGTACTCTGGAGTGTTGTGAACTGTGATGCTTATTTCTGATGAAAACTGTATTTTTGGACAATAAAGTAATTTCTTCTCTGAAACATTTTCTGGCCGTCCAATCGGCTGCCAGCAGCTCAGGCTGTGATTGGTCAGTCTTACAGAACCGGGCAGGTCCGTGGAGGCTCAGTCCAGCTTCTCCATCGGGACTTCGAAAGACTCCAGAATCTCCAGCCACAGGAACCCAAATCCAGCTTAACGTCACACGACCCAGAGGTCACGAGACCCAGGGGTCACATGAGCCGATGACCTCTAAGAAGGTCCAGGAGGGCTCTGCGGCCGACTACTGCAGTTCTAACTGATTCTGATGTTCTGGGTCAGCGGTCCTGAAGACATGATGTTTCTGCAAGTAAATGAAGCTGGACCCAGAACGGGTTCGGAACCAGATTGGGTTTTACTCCAGTTGGTTTATCGAGGTCCGTTTGATCATCAGAACTGGTTCTGGTTCTGATGTACTGAAGTTCTGTCAGAACTGTTTTGGGGGTTCTAAAAGGTTTTGGTTGAATCGTATTGTCCAACCAGACTGGGCCGACAGAACCGATCCGGTACACTTTCCAGGTTCTGTTGACCTGATGTCATTTACTTTTGCTTCATATTTTTAGATGGTTCTGATTCATTTCGGGTTCTGAACAGATTTATCTGAGATCCAGTTCCTCTCCCCACCGCTGGGGAACAGCACTGCGCCTGCGCAACCCTCTTCAAGGGAAGAAGAAGAAGAACATCTGCTGACGTCACATCCTACGAAGATGATGGCGGTGTCCGCGGCGAGGTTGAGCGGAGCACCGAGGAAATGCTGCAGGTAAATTCAGCTGGAACACCTGAGCTCTTAAAGCACACGCTGACGTCAGCGGGACGCTGACTATGACGTCAGGTAGCGAGCCGAATGTTTCCTGGATCAGCTGATGGACCAGAGACACATCCGAACCTGGAGACGCGGTTCTGGAGGACCGGACGCAAGGAGGTTCGGCTGGCAGGTGACACCTGCAGCCCGGAAGTTAGTCTGACAGGAACAGGAAGTTGTATTGTGTGAATTGGAAACAGACTCGTCAGTCCTTTTGGACCCGGTCCGGTTCTACCAGAACCAGCCAGACCAATCAGGATTCTCCAGGTTCTGGTTCAACAGGCAGAAACAGGATCAGGTGGACCCAGAACATCAAAGGGTTCCTGAATGAAAGTAACAGAACCACGAAGGACCGGTCTCATCTGGACCGGGGCGTTCTGGTGTCGACCAGAAAATGTTCTGATCGTTTTAAATTAGAGCGATGGTACCAGATGGGCCTGGTACAGGAAGCTGTGCTTAACCTCAGTGGGTTCTCCTGTTATCATTGAAATTCTGGCCCGGTTCCGTCGCTCAGACCGGTCTCAACCCAGCAGAACTTCCAGAACCGGACCAGTTCTGCTTGGTTCTGTCGAAGCAGAACTGGTCACTCAGCTGAGCTGAATGAGTTCCAGGTCACTCAGCAACATGCAGGGGAGGGGTGCTTATCTTCCTGGCCTGGTGCTGTGACCCAGTAGAGTCACTGAGGTTCTTCACCACAGAACCAACATGGCCGAGTTTTAGTTGGGTCAGGTGGGACCGGACCCAAGACGTTCCAGTTGAGGTTCTCAACTGGAACATAAAGCAGCCTGGGGTCAGTTTGGGGTCATGTGGCCATCGTTTGGGGTAGTTTAGGGTCAGTTTGGGGTTAGTTTGGGGTTAGTTTAGGGTCAGTTTGGGGTCGGTTTGGGGTCAGTTTAGGGTCAGTTTGGGGTCATGTGGCCATCGTTTGGGGGTAGTTTAGGGTCAGTTTGGGGTCAGTTTAGGGTCAGTTTGGGGTCAGTTTGGGGTCAGTTTGGGGTCAGTTTAGGGTCAGTTTGGGGTCAGTTTGGGGTTAGTTTGGGGTCAGTTTGGGGTCAGTTTAGGGTCAGTTTGGGGTCAGTTTAGGGTCAGTTTAGGGTCAGTTTGGGGTTAGTTTAGGGTCAGTTTAGGGTCAGTTTGGGGTCAGTTTAGGGTCAGTTTGGGTTAGTTTAGGGTCAGTTTAGGGTCGGTTTGGGGTCAGTTTGGGGTCAGTTTGGGGTTAGTTTAGGGTCAGTTTAGGGTCAGTTTGGGGTCAGTTTGGGGTTAGTTTAGGGTCAGTTTAGGGTCAGTTTGGGGTCGGTTTGGGGTCAGTTTGGGGTCAGTTTGGGGTCAGTTTAGGGTCAGTTTAGGGTCAGTTTGGGGTCGGTTTGGGGTTAGTTTAGGGTCAGTTTAGGGTCAGTTTGGGGTCAGTTTGGGGTTAGTTTGGGGTCAGTTTGGGGTTAGTTTAGGGTCAGTTTGGGGTCGGTTTGGGGTCAGTTTAGGGTCAGTTTGGGGTCAGTTTAGGGTCAGTTTGGGGTTAGTTTAGGGTCGGTTTGGGGTCGGTTTGGGGTCAGTTTAGGGTTTTAGGGTCAGTTTAGGGTCAGTTTGGGGTCGGTTTGGGGTCAGTTTGGGGTCAGTTTGGGGTCAGTTTGGGGTCAGTTTAGGGTCAGTTTGGGGTTAGTTTGGGGTCGGTTTGGGGTCAGTTTGGGGTTAGTTTAGGGTCAGTTTAGGGTCAGTTTGGGGTCAGTTTGGGGTCATGTGATGAACGTTCATGCGCTGTGTGTTTCAGGGCGCCGTCGCCACGCTGCAGCCAGAGCCGCAGCCTGAGCAGCGGTGAGTCCCTGCAGCAGGTACATGATAATGACATGAGCTCTGTCAGCCAATCAGCTTCCTCTGCTTCTGCAGGTCTCCGCCCCCTGTCCAGAGCCCGACCTTTTACTCTGCTTATCGTCACGGGAGGTTGTTACCTTGGT